TCAAGATCCCTGAGTCTTTCAGCTTCAGTAATGCCACTGCAAAAGACAGAAGTTACAGTATTCTGACATTATTTTCAGATGTCAACTTTGCAGTTCAACGTAAAGTATGTGACAAGTCTTGTCACTGTTTTGAATACAATGTTACACTTTTATACTCAAAATCTTTTATCGCCAGCATATAAGGTATATATTTGTAGACTATTAGCATCATTTACATGCTTTTCTACTAGTATAAGCAGAAAATTATTCTGTCCTACTTACAGTGTCCCATGAAATGTCAACCAAACTTCAGGAGGTTGTTAATAACATAATTTTTAGTTGAAAATTCCACTTACAACTGGTACAAAGCAGCAACTTCCATATGGCTAGGGTAAAGTTTGAAACATCTGCCCACAATAACTGTGGCTTATGTCCTTACAGAATGTATTACTGACATACAATAAAACCAGTCCCTGGATTATATGCTCGCCATTGTATTTGTTCCAGTACAGTACCAAATTGTGTAACTTCCAAATCAAAATTCCAAAGTGGCAGTCAAATTGGGTTAATACCCCAGACAATTCAATCATGCCTATTAAATTCAGAAATCGAATTCCTGTTTTGTTGAAAGATATGAACCTGATCAGTGATACCCATTACAATATTACAATTGAATTTGTTAGATACTGGTATCTTCTTACTATGGCACCTACTCTTTATAAACAAAATACTGTCGGTTTTGAAGCCTTACACATGCTCTCACCTCCTGGGAAATAACTTACGAGAGTAACTCACCGGCCGTTATTCTGTATATAACACGTTGCTTCATCATCCAAATCATTTGCTCCTAGAGGTGCCCATCTCTCACCAGCTGGATTACCATCATAAAAGTCCAAATCTTCCATTTCACTTGCATTATATACTTCTTCCATAATTCTTACTCAGGATAAATATCACAAACGGAGCGGACGTGTTTGTTATTACACTAAAATGAACCATCTGTTTCATAACAACAAGTCACAGAAAGTCAAAACCTGCCACACATGAATACCACCTACATAGTTACACTGTACGTATATTGATTAACCACGCATATCCTGCGTTCCGTTCCATTGTTGAATATTATATACACTCGATTGCGTCCAGAGTATTTCAAAGGGAAATATAACGTTGGTTCTTGCTCCGTGTAGATGAGCATTAGGATCGTTATTCCATAATACGTAACTACTGACTTCTCTGTACGATACATAAGAATTACAGCCAAAACTTATTATCCGTGATCAGACCTCCAATTACAACAGATTTGTTCATCAGTTGTTTATGTGGCAGAACCGGTTCGTGTGGACAAATTGTAATTAAATATTACATGGTACGACTTTTGTACACAAACGCTTATGGACCAGAATTAATTTCCCTCTAACTTTACATTTGTTGTGCATGTTGTAATATGTCATGAACGGAGAAGCATGTTTGGATAATCGAATGCAATTTGGATGAAATGTCGATAGTTTAGATTTTCTTTCATAATTTGAATAAACTTATAAGAAATGGCGTTTTATATTCGTACTGTGACATGTTCCACATTCTTGGTTTGTACTATGAAGGATCTGTTGATTGCAGATAAATGTTATAATGTTTCGAAGCAAACTTGGAAGCTTATACGAATACAATTAGCCTATTGTGAACTGGGAATACACCAAATATATACCAATATGATACTTCATGCTTATATGTTTTAATTGACCTAATAAGATTCATGGATATTTCAGATTCAGTTAAAATCTTATAGAGATTTCTGTCTTGACTGGATCACACACACTTAAGCAGTCTTAAAAATTAATACAGACTTGATTGTTTAATTTACTTCATGTCTAGGAAAAGAATATGCTCTCCATCAATTTTAAAGAAATGTTTCAGTAGTTTTATATATCTGCAATGCAAAGTAAGGGACAACAAAAATTGACATATTGTAAACCTGTGTGTGTTTGTATATTAGTGATGTATGTAGTTATGTGTGAATGTGCGTGGGGCATACATATATTTTGTTGTGCTGGTGGTAAATGATTTTAAACTGTCCTATTTAATTACATTTTATGTGCTTATACCGATGAGTTACAAGGGCCTATATTATAGTGTTTCTTTCATCCTTTGCAGTTCTTTACTGGAATGTTAGCTTGATTTGCAGCATGTCGTCTTCAGCTGTATATATTCTCGATGTGAAGGGGAAGGTAAATATATCTTTTTAGTAAAGTCTCAAATAATTAATTTTGTTCTCAAGTATATATGTAATTTTTATCAGGACCTGTCAGATATTTAATTTCAGTGTGATATGTGAGTGAAGTATTATCTGTTGTAACTGAAGATCACTGTGAAATTCATCCTAATCTTGGATAATGCATTATATTTTTTAAATTAATTTGTTTCTTGTGCACATTTCAAAGGTACATACAATATGTAATTAATTTATCTCTTGTATTTTACAAGATTTGTTGTTGTCAATCAGTGGATGCAAATGATGTTGAATGGAGAAATAGCTGGGCTTGAGTACTGGTCCTTTAATGAACATTGTAATGTAGTGTTGTAATTTCAGTATCATTCTTTGGGCATGTGTAATGTGCACTCTGATAAGAAACTGTATGATACAATAGGTCCTCATATCAAGAAACTACCGAGGTGACATTGATCTTGGTGTAATTGAAAAATTCATGCCTCTGCTGATGGAGAAGGAAGAAGACGGTATGCTGACGCCAATTTTGCAAACATCAGAATGTACATTTGCCTACATAAAGTACAATAATTTATACATAGTATCCACAACTAAAAAGAATGCTAATATTGCGCTAGTGTTTGCGTTCCTGCATAAGATTGTTCAGGTAAATGTCCTTAATGGTTTGTATTGCAGTTTGAATTAGACATACTGGATTGAGATTTGTAATTTCAGAGTTTTATTTTAACTTTTAAAGCCCATCTGCCATGTGTTATATGACTGCCACACATACAAATAATGGTGCACATTAGAACTATTAGAGTATATAACAGAAGAGGAAACTCATAACTTGTAAGCTTATAATGTTATTTTTCTGCTTATACTCAAATATTGTACTTTTAGCAAGCCAGGATTTTTTCTGTAAAATTTCCAGAGGCACAGCTGAGTTGCCATGCACTGAATATACAAATTTCTGTTTGAGTGAAAATTGTGGAAGGTTTTCTGTTCAGCTTTGTTGAATGCAGAGTATCAGGCTGACACTTGTCAGCCAGCACAGTGTCACTTCTCATTGAGAGGCATTTCATCAAGAATATGCTTCATAATCGCTGCCATGAAAACATTAAAACTTACCAGTGTCTTGAAGCCTATGACACTATATTGAGCTACCAGTAGGTGGTCAGCACTAGTTTGCAAACATGTCTAGGAAAGTCCATTTATAATGTAAGCTAATGGAACTAATATTTATTGATAAATTTTTTACATACTCTTATCACTTTTGAAGAAATCTAACAGTAAAGATATAAATTTAGCAGGCTTTTCTGAACATCAGGGTCTATGGGGGGGGGGGAAAGGAATTTCTTGACTAGCTGAGCAGCTGGTACTTCTCAAAATGTACTCTGCTCTTTATTATTGTATCTATCAATACTAAATCGATGAAGGCAATATACAAATTACGTGTATATATTTCCATAACTTTCACATTATTGAGATGTTGATAATAACTTCCTTTCCAGGTAATGATTGAATATTTTAAAGAACTTGAAGAAGAAAGTATAAGAGACAATTTTGTTGTTATTTACGAACTCATGGATGAACTTCTTGATTTTGGTTACCCACAGACAACTGACAGCAAAATACTGCAAGAGTGAGTAGCTGAATAAATGGTTCAGTTTTTTCTCGCCATGGTAAATTATTTATTTACAGTCTGTTATATTATGCAAAAATTGGTTTCAGATACATAACTCAAGAAGGTCATAAATTAGAGATCCAACCCCGAATTCCTATGGCTGTAACTAATGCTGTGTCATGGAGATCTGAGGGCATCAAATATAGGAAGAATGAAGTCTTTCTGGATGTAATTGAATCAGTAAACTTATTGGTATGTGTGTCTTTTGTACCATAATTTAATAATTTTGTCTTTCAACAAAATTGCTGCCTGTATTAACACTTTTGGAGCCAGGGTAGCTCAGTCATTATAGTGACTGTGTTTGATTGTTTTTTATAATATGAATCTTCCTTTGCTGTCTGTTTACTGGTGTAATTTAGGCACATAGTATCATTGTCCTATAAATTTTAAAGTAAGAACTTTGTATTGAAATATTGTAGGGATGTCCATATGCTCAGAATAAGTGTATTACTGTGTATTGGACTGTACTCTGATAACATTTATCATTTTTTCATAAGAGTGGGTGTTTAAAATAGAAATTTATCGTGAGGATGTAAGTAATTTAGAAACTGCAGTAATTTTAGCTGTGCTACATATAGTTATTGAGGGTATATGCAATTTTATTATTATTGGCTTATTGTTTTTTTTCCCCCCCCTGACCCAAATTTCATAATGCTTCAAAAAGGCTATTTTTCTTTGGTATAGGCAAATGCAAATGGCAATGTATTGAGAAGTGAGATCGTAGGAGCTATCAAGATGCGTGTATATTTGAGTGGTATGCCTGAACTTAGACTGGGACTTAATGACAAAGTGTTATTTGAAAGTACAGGAAGAGGAAAGTCAAAGTCAGTTGAATTGGAAGATGTGAAGTTTCACCAATGTGTCCGTTTATCCAGGTTTGTCACTGCTTATTAAAGAACTATTATTGCACAGATTTGAATATGTATTTTATACAAGATACTTGTGAAGATGTCATTCAGCATTTTAAGTAAGTTGTTTATTTTATCTGTTGATAAGTTACGGTTACATTTTTTCTTTTTCAGATATATGTCTGTTGAATGTTTATATTGGAAATGGAAGTTTATTTTTTGCTTTGCAGCAGATATATTTTTATATCTGTACAGTGGAACTTCGATATACCGTGCCTCGTTATACTGCGGACTTGGATATATTGCGGCTGCGATCGTGTCCCCCCCAAAAAATTACATATGTTTTACATATTTCATATATAACGCCGGTACTGAATCTGTCCCCTGAAACCTACGTTATGTCGAGGTTCCACTGTATTTTATATCCACAATTTTAAATATGTATTTTCATATGACAGTGTTTTAATGTTAAGTGGAAGCCACGAAAATGAAAAACTTCTTTCACTTTATAATTAGTATACAGTGTACAAGAACACAAATCTCCAGTTTATTATGATTTTTATGTTATTTTACAGATTTGAAAATGATCGAACAATATCATTTATCCCTCCCGATGGCGAGTTTGAGTTGATGTCATACCGTCTGAACACACATGTAGGTTCAAAAATATGTGTACTTAGTGTTACTCTTATCTGATTTTCTCTTCTATGTCACATTTTCTTAATAGCTTTTTCCCTGTTTCTTGTTCTTTTACTTTATTATTTTGCATAATTTCTTCCAGTCTGTTGTTATATTTTGTGAATGTCACAACACTGTTACTTCCAGGTGAAGCCATTGATATGGATTGAGTCTGTGATTGAACGTCATGCACACAGTCGTGTGGAATATATGATAAAAGCAAAATCTCAGTTCAAACGTAGAT